CTTTAACATCAGCTCTCCACAAGCACTGTGACTTCCAGTGCTTCAGATGCAGCTTTTCTCATAAGACATTAGCCACAAGATGACTGTTTCTCTTGTGTCCCTGCTCAGCTAGGCCCGTGGCCAACGTCTTCATGTTGAATTCTCTGATGTGTCGAACCCTTCTCTCTGTGCCCTTCCTATTTCTGTCCTAGGGATCTCAGGACCCTACTAGCTGCAAGTCTGTTCTCTGACTGCTCATCATTGCCAAAACACAACACAGTCTTAATAGAACTGACTAAAAATTTGGGCTGTCTGATCTCACCAGGGACCTCAAGGCTGCTCCACAATTCTAATATTCATGCTTGGTTAACTTTCCATCACATTCTCCAAGTAGCTTTTTCTAATTATTTACAGCCTCAATAAGAACTTAACCCTATGCCTTTCTCTCTTCTGTTTGGCATATATGTTGTCTTCTATATCACAGAAGATGGACCACTCACACCCAGATACTGCAATTTCCCCTGCTTCCACCACCTTCACATGTCCACCTATCATTTTTCCTCTGCCTCTTGTTCCAGGAAAAGCTATCTGTGTCCCATTTCCAGTTTTCCAAAGATATTCTTCTACCATGCTTGCTTTCTCTATACTTTCTTGACTTCTTGATGACCTTCATTTAACAGCTGGCTATTCTCTTGCCTGAATATGTTTTATAAATGTCTAGTTTTCCATGACACCTTCACTTCTGCTGATGAACAAGTTCATATTTTCCTGGTTAAAAACCAAATGAAATGAAAATTAAAAGTAAAACTTCAATCTGCTATCCTTTGGCTGTGATGCTATACAGAGAGAGAGAGAGAGAGAGAGAGAGAGAGAGAGAGAGAGAGATTATTTCTCTTTACCCATTTCTTTGAGCACTAATTTCTCACTAGTGCTTAATACCTTTCAATACAGCTTCTACCAAAAATATTTCTAATAACTTTTTGGCTTGGTAAAAGGAGCTCTGAAAATGACTGTCAAGTTCCAAAACAAAACGATCAGTTGTAATGATTAACATCAAAATTAAGCCGATACGAACACAGTGGTATCCATATTACTGTACTTAAAGACTATTTAGTTTGGAGAAGGGTAGGTAGGGAAGCGAGAGGAGATCCTTAGGACACTATGCCACAGAGAAGGGGTAAAACTGGGTGGAAAAATGGCCAAAGAAGGTTGGGATGCCTGCGATTCTTACGCTGCCTGAAAATTACAAGGACAGTGGCCTTTGGGAATCAAATACTGTTGTAAAAGTGCTTCACCACCACAGCTAGTCATGGAAACTAACAAGTACTCAGATGTCTCAGCAGACGCAGCAGACTGAGAGTCATGTGTCTTCTCCTCAGTGGCACCACATTGGTCTAGGTTCTTAGTAACCTATGATTGCATTACTTCTCCCAACATGGCCCCTGCCTCTGGATTCTTTTCTCATCTTCTCAATTTAGCCTTCACACTGAGTCTGTTGTTGTCTAGTTTTCTTTGCATGTACCAAGAACTAAGAAAAAGTGATTTGAAATAAATAAATGTATTTAAAAATTTTCAAAGGTGTCTGACCATTATGGCCTTCACAAAACTTATTTTTAAAGTGACAGGTTATTTTTTTAATCAAGCAGAAAAATACTGCTTTAGTGGAGCTAAGAAGCCTTGATAAGGGTGGGGATGGGGTACTACTAAAGATCATTTTAAGATACATAAGGTAGGAACAAAAGAGGCTGCTTTGCCTTAAACTCAAAAAATTAAGGCAGAGAACTTTAACTATGCACACCTACCACAAAAAAATCTAAAATTTAATTTACTACATAGTATGTGGGCTCTTCTATTTGCAGAAAGGTAGAAATTATGTCGAGGCACCAGGTCATTCAATTCTAAATGTGAAAATCTCAACAAATTGCTGATTAGATTGTTAGCAGATTGTTAAGATATCAAAATACCAATAAAATCTGTGAATTCAGCTTGTTCCTGTCACTGGATGTCAGGCAGCAACGTGGATCACTAATAATTTAATAGAATCGCTGAATTCCCAAGCCTCAATTTCCCATCAGGTAAAAAATGCATCAAAATTATGACTATTTCACAATATAATTTTATTATAACATCAACATCATTTTCTCTATACAGTTATTCTGTTGGGAAAAACATGTTTATGTTTTCATTGCTGTTTTCATTTATAATTCAGCAATTGTGATTTGTGTGAAGTATATCAATTTAGGAATTGTTTAATTCTTTCTTTAATGATACTATTATGTTATTTTTTGTTTTTAGTAGATATTTGAAGTTAATATTTAGGTCTTAATTCATTTATAACAATCTAAATATGGTTTTAAGAAAGACTCTTGGGGTCCAACTTGAGCTGGATAATTTAGAAAAAGTTCAAAATGCTAAAACTTGCAAAAATAAACCAAGTGCAAATGAAGATGAACCAAGCTTTTGATTTTCCTATGGGAAATAACTTTAATCTTATGAGAAAAATAATATTGCTCATGATGATTCACATAAGAGTTTTACAAAAATTTTTAATAACATATTTTATGACACAGGAAGTTGGACTATAATCAGTAAACTGGTCAGGTCAGTTTGAACTCACTAATCAGCTAGGTCTTTGTTTAAAGCTGCTTATGAATAAATTACTTTTTTCATGTCAGTAAAAAGTCAGAGACTCAAAATCTTTTTGGCAGCTGTAAGCATTTGACACAATCTTTTTTCAGTGATGAATTATCATATGACATTAATGGCAAATTTTTCTTTTTCTAATGAGAAATTTTGTCCAGAGAAGGAGTGACCTTTAATAGCAGGCCAAGAAAGTCTTTCATTTGTATTGTGAATATTTCATTGGTTCCTCTATATAATATTTCAATTATTTTGTTATTTGCATAGGTGATTTATTTTGTAAAATTTGTCTTCATTGTTGTCAATAATATTCATACACTATATTTAACTGAGAATTACTCTGTGTGCTTTAAGACAGGGATCTACAAACATTTTCTGAAATGGGCCAGGTAGCAAATATTTCAGCCTTTGCAGCCATATGTCTTGGCAGCAACTACTGGACTACACTGTTATATTGCAAACATTGCTTTAAAATGTTTATAAACCAAAAGGTGAGGCTGTGCCCCAGTAAAACTATGCATAAAAACATTCCACATTCCGTGGACAGAAGTGGGGTGTGGCTCACTCACCCTGGTTGGAAGGTCTTACCTTTGTGTGTAGCCAGAGAGATAAGAGGTCAAGGACTTAGGAAATACTTCTCTCTAACTCACTGAATTTCAATGGCTCCAAAAATAAATATCACAGTCAAATTAAGTGCTGTAGAAGCTCAGATTTCCTTCATTGGCTTCTCTTGTAATAAATCATTTTCTGTGTGCTGAATTTAATTCTATTCAACTAACATCTACTATGCATCAACACTGTAACAGGGTTATGGCACCCAATGTGGCACACAGTGTGATAGGCCCAGTTTCTGATGCCTCGGTTTGAAGAAAGGAGATATTTCAGTTTTGATATTAATGAGCAAGCACTCAGATATGCTTTTAATTTTCTTCTGCCACATTTGCCTCTTATATGTGGTGCTGGACCTAAGACCTTCACTTCCTCACTCAGTCTAGGGAGACAGGGATGTTGACTTTGAACTTCACTCTGTCTCATCCCATCATTCCCACCGCAGGACCATAGTTATCACTGGTTCCTTTTTGCTTGCTTCATTTTTACTTAAGAAATTAACACAAAATGCCAGTGTACGTTGTCATACTTCTTTATTTTGAGGGTGAAGGAGCTTTGAGTTTCAATTCCTGTATCTTACTGCACAAGCAAGCTGAGCAACCATTTTATTTTTCCTTGGGAAGATGGCACTGTATATTTTAAGCGTAAAAATTCACTCTTTAAAACTCATGCTTGGGGAGAAAAGAGTATAAAGAAAGAGCAGGAGCAGCAATTTATTAATTCTTCCAGCTTGCTGCTGTGATTCAGCTCAAAAAGAGTAATTATGTAGATTTTTTAATTTTTTTAAATGTTACATTCAACATTCATATTGCTAACTGGTATAAAGCAGTATTTCTAATTAAATTTAGTAGCAGCTTCGAACAGCTGGCGAAATCATTTGGATTTCTGAAGGGTTACTTTTTTAGCTCGCTAACTTGAGTTATAAAAGTTTTATCTCCTCCAAAGAGGAAAATAAATTATTTCTAAAAATCTGCATATGAGAATAATGAAGATTTCATAGACTTTAAATATATGAAATTAGAATTTGTAATAATTCAAAAACTAGTTGCACTCTCAACTCATTGGCAGAAATAGTAATTAGCTTTTTTAAACAATAGGATTTACTAAACTTAAATGTTATGTGACAAGTAATATTGTGATTTTTACATAATAATGAGTATGGATAGTTTGGAAATTCATTGTGACTTAATAGATGTGCATCTCCCTAAGAAAATCTTTGTAATATTTTTAGGCTAAAATTTTCAATATTAACTTTATTTTATGACTACATACAGTGTTAAATATACCAATCCCACATTGGTAAGATACTATATTTACTAAATTATTTACCATAGCCCTATAAAACTATCATCAAAGTAACACAATGCAGTTATCAGACTACATCATTCTGTAGAGCACTTACAAGGTATAACTTTTATACATGAAAACCCACAGAGACTGACCTATTCAGTAGTTTAAACTGGGGACATAGCTCAGTGGTTGTGCTCTTAAAACTGGCTTTAGGTGCGAAATGACAGTGTACAATATTTTTGATGTGCCAGTATCTAACACCTTATAATAACATGACTTGAGTCTAGCAATGACCAGACAAGTGAAAATAATTAATATGGATCATAGGTTCAGTCCTAGCATCCAAATTGGAATGAAATGTCTTTGTGTTCTAACTCTTAGATTGCAGTTTCTAATACAGCCTGGTACAGGCAAGAGTAGAACTGTAATGGTGAGAAATGCTCTCTGGGAGAACTCACACAAGCTGCTTTGTCCTTCCCCAGGATTTGTCATTGTGAAGGGGACGAAGAGAGCCCCCTCATCACACCCTGTCGCTGTACAGGGACCCTGCGCTTCGTCCACCAGTCTTGTCTCCACCAGTGGATCAAGAGCTCAGACACACGCTGCTGCGAGCTCTGCAAGTATGACTTCATCATGGAGACCAAGCTCAAGCCCCTTCGAAAGGTATAGTATCTGCAAAGACTGGATGGAGAGACAAAACTTGCACAGTAGGCTGCTTTTTAAAATCCATTTCCTTCCCCAATAAGACTCTTAGAGCAAGCAAACATCCATGAAGAATACATGTCCTGTATTGAGGTCAGTGTTCAAAATGGAGCCAAATCTTTGCAGGTATTCCTTTCTTCTCTATTTTATATTCTGGGACCTCTGGTTTACATATCACTCTCCACAGTTAAAACTAAGTATGTGCATATACATAAAAGGAGAAACGTAAATGGATATGGATATATAATATACAAAATTCAATGGGCTGCTTTGATGAGAACTGGAGAACATTGTACTTACTGAGGTTAATTCCTAAGAAGGTTAGAAGGTAGATTTCATGAAACAATATGAATTCATCTAATTTTTTAATTTCTTCTGTAAGGTGTGAACTGTTTCGTGGGTTTACTTTTATTTGGGGATTGGTTTGATGTCTTATATATAATTAGGGTAGATAGAAAACATATTACTTTCTATATTATGTATCAAGCTGTAAGAGAGATATAATCTGTAAAGTTTACCTTCAAATTCTTCATTTATGTTATTTTTTTTCTGAAGAATGAAGGTAAGACTGTGAGCTAAGTATGAAGTTAACATCTTACTCAAAGCTACCAAAGGACTGCTTGAAAGGATGCAAACAAGGGGAATGAACTTTATATAATTCGTGCTTGAGAGCTGGGCTCCTGGATATTAGTATGTAACTTATTCATCTTTTTGCCTAACTGCAGCTTTACATATATATATGGAAGCCTCAATCTCCAAAGGGGAGTGTGGAGACTGCGATTTAAATAATGAATCAGCCTAGAGCTGCTTTTTTATTTAAATTAAATGCAGAGCTAAATTGAACAGAGAGAACATTACTTGAAAATAAGCATGATGGGTTCCAGAATGAGCAGAGATGAAAAGCAAACAAGACTATTCCAGTAGGCATCTGATTGGTGGCTGGCCATTGTAATTCTTCATTAATTCTGTAAATTATGGAGACAGAGAATAACATTCCCTGGTTCTGTGACAACTTTGATTTTTAAAAATCTGCAAATGGTTTGTGAATGTCAGAAATTATGCACAAGGTGCCTTTAGGATGTGCATCACCTTCTTTTGACATAAGTGGTGACCTGAATGCCAAAAGGTGACATTCTATTCCTCTTAGTCCCAGAGCAACCCATACCGGAAATTTGGAATGGATACCTTTTCCTTGTCCTTTGCTTTATCCACTAAACAGGTGCTGTGTACTGTTTGGAGCAGCTAAATGACACACTGGACTCCACAATTCTCTAAATTTCTCTTCTTATCCCTCAGGGAACCACACACTGTTTCATTGCAACTGGATATTTCTTCATTTATCCCCACCCTTTCTGTGTACAAAATTTTCCTTACAACTTTGCCAAACATACTATTTCTATTTAATAGCAATAGTCTAGGATAATAACATATCCACTTTGTCTCTTCTTTATTGTATCTTCCATTACCAACCCTCTCCCATTTTGGTATAAGGATCTAAACATGATGCTGGAAAGGAACTTTAAGTCTTTCTTTTACCCTCAGACTTTTGTAGAATCATCACTTAAATACAACTTTGATCCTCTCTTGATATCCATTACCAATAATAATTAACAACCATAGAGGAGATATTTTTCTTTTTGCAATCAACCTGTTTATAAACCAAATAGAAAAGAAGCAAGTACAGCTACCTTTTAAAATATTCGTTATTCATGGTAATAAATATGTTGCTATAACCTAATGGGTACCTATATCTTTTGATTAATGAAATATCCTAGTTTCTTTTTAAAAAGTCCTTTGATTGATCATAAGTATTGATAAATAATAAAACTGTATTTCAACATCCTTTATTTTTAATACACTTATATATGTACAGGGAGTGTTGGAATCCAATCCAAAGGTAGGTTTCTGGCAGCCCATGGTCATGTTTTATTTGACCCATGGGGTTATAACTTAAATATTAGTTACCAACACTTAAATGCATGAGTATTTCATGTAAAACTCTTCACATCTAAATTTGTTTAGAAATCTTAGTGCATGGTTTTACTGGGACCACTTTCCCATTTGACAATCACTGGTGGGGCTCAGTGGTAACTGGCCAATTAAAATGCAATTAGCATTCCAGTTCCTCCCATTTTTCATCCCCTACTCTCTTTCAAATCCTGAGATCTCATGTTGTCTTCACTCATCTATAGCCTGATGAAGGAATCTAAATTTGAGTTCTATATGTGCAACACATACCTTCTCTTTCTCCTTGCATGATGTACGGGCTTTGAAAATCTAGAGAAACTATTTCAAATTCTCATTTCCTCTTTAAAAGTACAGGGAACTGAAATAATACTTAAGAGGTGATATCTGAAATGCCTCTTCAGATTGTGAGGTGATATAAACTATACAGATCTGTGGCATTTTTAAACTGTTCTAGATGGTTTGTTTTGATGGAACTGGGATTCATCAACAGTTTCTTTTGGTAGTTTTTAAGTGGCCATAAAGAGTGCCAGGTGCAGCATTAGGTTAGAATATATTTGAAGTACATCCAATTAATTGCTCTCAACTCAGTAATTCCATTACAGCTTATAACATTCTAAAGACCAAGCCCATGAAACAATTTAGCTCATGATTCTGAATTTCTACCATTAACCAATGAAGTCAGGAATTTCTGCTTAAACAAAATGACTTTGGAAGTAGAAAGGTACAGATCTTCAGAGTCTGACGAAGCTTGGGCTTAATAGTCTCTAAAGATACCAGTAAAGACTTCCTTCATTAATTACTATTACTTCACCAAAATCTACAGTTAGCAAATTCATCAAGGTATCCTAATGTTTCCAGAAGAAAAGCTTTATATAGTCAAAATAAAATCAAGGGCTTATTCAGGGAAAAGCAACTTTCATCATCTTTAAGTCAGTAGCTCAGCTATTTTTACAACATTCAATGAAAGTCCCATTAATTTGCTGAGTTACCCGGGGTCAGAAGTAATTCTCAGATCTCAGAAAAGTCAGAAAGTCACAAATAAAGAAAGCACAGTGATTATTCAGTGAAATTTGGAAAAGTACACAATATTGATTAGGAAGCATGAATTAACTTCTTAATCTGAAGCTGAAGCATTTCATGGGTTCCGACTTCAATCATTCTGGAATGAGAGAAAGCAGGCATCGGTATGAAGCCAAGTTTATAAGGAGACCAAGTACTAATGATAGCTTTAAATCCTTTCCTAAAATATTTCTTTATATAATTTTCCATATAGAAATGATTTGACAAATTTATAATACAAAATATTCAACCTCATGCATCTTTTTTATTCTTTGTCTCCAATAACTAATGCAATCCTCATCAAATCCCATTTTATGTAAGTATACATCAGGCCCATTTGATGAGAAAAATGAGACAGCATCAAGGATTTTCTCAGTATCACGTACACAAGAGAGACTTGATTCTGATCTCCCACTTATTGCATTGTGCCTTGCTGCTGCTAAACAACAGGCTCTCCATAAGCACAGGAACTTTAGTTTTTACTTAAAGCATTTCTAGTGGAAATCTTTCCAAAAAAATTGTTAATAAAACGCTTTTCTGAATCTTCTTAAACATGGATATTTCACCCAATATCATCTCCTAATAACATTTATAATACTATATACACATCATTTATTTTGCAAACTGGAAAACATTAACTTCAGTTGTTTAAAGAGCATATAAGGCTTTTGTCTTCGTTCTGGTTTCCCCAGACTTCTGCATTTTGAAAGCCTTTCTGGGTGTCTGCCTTTTGCTGCTCCTTCTTCCCCATTCTCGGAGCACCGGGAACACACTGCTCTTCCTCCAACAACTTTATTCCATAGTTTACATAGCTATTCCTTAAACAATAAAATCAGAGGTTATAGAATTGGGACTACAGAAGAGTTCAGGCAGTTCTACATGTGCTTCTGCAAGACTATTTTGATAACGGTCAAGAGTTTTAGTGGGCATGGACATTCTGACATTATTCTAGTGTTTCTTTTTGCATTCTCCTTAATTCTCAGTTTTACTCAAGGAACTTGGGGTTATATGATAAGAAACCCTCAACATATAAAAGTGTGAAATCTCTAGGCTATTCCTCCATCAGTGGAACTTAGTTCTGAGGAATAGTTTTGTTGTTCCATTTCTTCATAAATACCACATACAAGCCTGCAGGCAATGAAAACCTTTGTATAATCCAAACAAAACTTTCTTTATACTTCTTCCAAAAAAAAAAAAAAAAACAACCAACCCAACCACACTCATAATTTACAATGCATACACATTTTCTTGTTTTCTTGTGCTAGGTTTCAGTTCTATTATTATATGAGCCCTACAGGAAGTATAAATGATTTAGAACATTCTTAGGAAATTACTTTGTTTTCCAACTCACACTCTCCAGATGAGCAGGATAAGTTTTTGCAATGATTTTTCACTGTCCACCTGGCATTATCTACACTTACACACTGCTTCCCTCACTTTCTCTGTGCTTCTTTCATTGAGAAGGCTTCCAGTAAGCTATTGGCTAATTCTGTGGGAAAGGGGAACACATGGGTAAAAGATAGAACAACAAAAAGAAGATCATTTGTCAAAAAAAATGTGTCAACTTGTTTAAGACATCAAACTTTGCATGAAAATTATTGGGTTTTAAAAATTTGTTTTAGTGCCTTCACACATTGGTACTTTCAGAACTAAAATTGATACAGCAATAAATAATTTTATGACATATCTGTGTCAAATAATCATGAGGTGGAAATTATTGGGGTCTTGTGTTTTATTCTAATAGATATTTGGGATTTTTCACATGGATGTTATCTTTGTCTTTAAATGAAATACTAGTGAGTCAATTGATATTTCAAAGGCATATTCATCTAGAATCACTGTTATAGAACTATTTGTTCAAAATAGAAATATAATTTTCTGAGAAACCAAAGAGCTTATTCTTTTCTGAAGCTTCCACTCATAAATATAGTAGC